CCTGATTCTCCATTCTGGATTGAACTTGAGTACATTGAGGATTCCCCTATGTTTCAATATTGTAAATGAGAGGAACATTGATGTCGTTTTTATGATATTAAGGTTGACTGCATTTAGTTAAGTGTTTGCATTTTGAAAGCCCTTCTGATATATGCTTTGTCTGCCAGGTTTCAGGTGAAAAAGAAGCAATTTTTCCGTAACTTCATAACCATCATGCTATTTGGGGCTGTCGGTACACTAATATCCTGCACGGTTATATCTTTAGGTATTTCCGATGACTTTATGGATACAATTTACTGTAGTGCAGATGCATTTCATTTTATTCTCTTCTATTTTTGTGGGTGGGGTTGGGAACCGGTTAGCAGTTTTAGGGTTTAGCTTAATTTGTTGATGTATGTCCTAGTGTTGCCAAGAATATTTTTCTCTTTATGATTGCAACTCTGATGCTTCAAACAGGTGCTATTAACGCCTTCAAGGAAATGGACATTGGCTCCTTGGATATTGGGGATTTTCTAGGTAATATCTCTTATTGCTCCCTTATTTTCCAAAATGTCTGTTCTTATTTCAGTGTCCTCACTATTGTTCCCTATTACTTTCAGCAATTGGTGCAATATTTGCTGCAACAGATTCTGTTTGCACACTGCAGGTATTCATAGATTAAAATTGTGCTAGCTTTTTTTCTAAATTGAAACTAGTATACCAAACTTGCTAAAATCGAGCTGTTTCTGTCTGATGGTGCAGGTGCTTAGTCAGGATGAGACTCCGTTACTCTACAGTCTGGTTTTCGGAGAGAGTGTTGTAAATGATGCAACATCTGTGGTGCTTTTCAATGCAATCCAGAGTTTTGACCTCACAAATGCCAATCCTAAAATTGCTCTAGAGTTTTTTGGCAAATTTTTGTATTTATTTTTAGCCAGCACTGTACTGGGGGTGGTTGTAAGTATCTTTTCATGCACATCTGATTCATTCTGTGAACACTGTGTTAACACCAACGTGTGATGTAATGTTTTTCTTTTCCTTGCAGGCTGGGCTTGTTTAGTGCTTACATCATCAAAACGTTGTACTTTGGCAGGTATGTTTCAATACAATCTGGATTTTCATATCAACCCACTTTTCTCTAATTGTCATCTGCACAACAAACAACCTTGAAAATACTTATATAAGAATATTCTCCTGCTTCAGGGAATGAAGGTGTTTACACAGTAGTAGTTTGTTTCAGTCATTTGCCACTTTGAAACATTTACTTAACAGAGGAATCCGACTGAACACAATTAAATATTTTTTGAAGTCGAGAGCTTCTTATTTAATGTGCTTATTTTAACGTGATTCAGGCACTCAACAGATCGTGAATTTGCTCTTATGATGCTTATGGCTTACCTTTCCTATCTCATGGCTGAAGTAAGACTGGCAGTTTCTTGAAACTCTTCCTTTTTTTTATATACGAACTTCTTTTCATTATTAATATGCTTATAATGTTGCATCCCCTGCAGCTGTTCTATTTGAGTGCCATTCTCACAGTATTCTTTTGTGGGATTGTGATGTCACATTATACCTGGCACAATGTGACAGAGAGTTCAAGAGTAACTACAAAGTATGTCTCCTTCACAGTGATGATTTAGGGCAATAAAGATCACTTTCCGTTGATATTAAGAGAAAACAAAAATCCCAATTTTAACTTTTCATAGCCTCAACTGATTCAGTTTTTTTTGTTTAAACTCAGGCATGCTTTTGCAACCTTGTCATTTGTTGCCGAGACTTTTATCTTTCTTTATGTCGGCATGGATGCCTTGGACATCGAGAAGTGGAGATTTGTAAACGATAGGTATTTTTTATGAAATTGCACCTGTTAGGAACTCTAACAAGATTTTGGTAAATTGTAAATTAATGCGTCTTTTTGTCTTGACTCCCTGCTTCAGATTTTCTTTTCCGTTTCTTTTTTCTCCCACGCAACTTGTACAAAATTAACTTCCATTTATGGGCGAGCTTGTCTTTTTCGTTGTGTTTGATCTCTGTTTTTTTGTAGCCCTGGAACGTCGGTTGCTGTTAGTGGTGTGCTGCTAGGTCTTGTTATGGCTGGAAGAGCAGCTTTCGTGTTTCCCCTCTCATTTTTATCCAACTTGGCAAAGAAATCAGCTAGTGAAAAAATCAGCTTCAGGGAACAAGTAGGTGTTCATGACGTATAACATTTTGCTTCCAAATAAATTAATGATATTAATTTGGCATTACTATTTTTCTGTATTTCTTTGTCTAGTTTATAATATGGTGGGCTGGTCTCATGAGAGGTGCTGTATCTATGGCACTCGCATATAATCAGGTAAAGAACTAAAGACTTACTAATCTTACTTCATTTGAAAAAGGAAGCTTTTTTATGCAAGTCATTGATTTGGAGCTTCGATGTGTTAAATTGGGAAATCTAATCGACATCGTCTGATAGACTTTTACTTAAAATGCAGTTTACAAGGGCAGGTCATACACAATTGCGAGCGAATGCAATTATGATTACGAGCACCATATCTGTTGTTCTATTCAGCACTATGGTAAGATATCTCCTACTTTAATTTTTATATGCAATATATCCTACTTTCCCCCCCTTTATTTACCTTTTACGATGTTGAATGCTTCGCTTCTGCATTATTGCTTCTAGTAATACGGATTGCATAAGAACGGTTTCGCTGTCTTCGAATGAGGAAACATGGAATTGTTGTTAGGATATAGAGCCTAGTTTTTGTATAGTACGTTGTAACCTTGCTCAAATGCGTTTTTGTAATGTGATTGTGTTATGTATATTAGGTTAAATATGTTTTAATCGTTTCGTGTAACATACGCTTCGACATATTTATGTGTTTGTGCTGCATTTTAGATATTTTCCATGTCGATCGTCGAGTCCAAATCCGCCAGATATACGTCTTAATCATGACATCTCGAAAATGTTATTAAATCATCTGTTTGTTCTGCACAGGTTTTTGGTTTATTGACTAAGCCTCTGATAAGGTTCGTGCTGCCTCATCCCAAAGCAACAACCAGCATGCTCTCAGACCAATCAACTCCAAAATCGTTGGAGGCACCGTTTCTCGGAAATGGTCAGGACTCCTTCGATGATAGTTTTGTTGGAGTTCATCGACCGGACAGCCTTCGTGCGCTTCTCACAACTCCGGCGCACACCGTTCATTACTATTGGCGTAAGTTCGATAATGCATTCATGCGACCCATGTTCGGTGGCCGGGGTTTTGTGCCCTTTGTTCCCGGCTCCCCAACGGAAAGGAGTGAACATAATGTGCCTCAATGGCCGTGAGGCGGCCGAACGAGGTGCAAAAAACTACACGCTTCCGGCTAGAAGCCGGTGCAGTATGTAGTTGCCTCCGGAATCTATGTTTCGTGCATGAACTATGCTATTATATTTTGTTAACCTTTAAGAGGTTCATGTCTAGACTTGAGAGTTTAAAACGTATGTATGATTTGGGTAGGCTTGCGAATCTATTGTGTACGTTTAGTGCTTATTTTGTATATATACAAGTGTTGAATTGATTTCATTGTGTTTGCTTCGATTTGTTACTTGTTGAATAAACTGATTATGAACTGAGAAAACGGTTAATGGAAGAACACACCAAAACGCTACCAATTTTTTTGCTTGTAAATATCGGCTGACCATTCATTATGGCTACCTTGTTTATTCATATTTAAAAAAAATCATCATTATTCCTAATCGAATCATAACTTTGTTTTATTTTTAACAAAATTAATGATTTGAATGGGTGAAATTCAGTTTGGATCGTGGTTGAAATTAGGGATGGGTATGGGTCGGGTTTTTGGTCCACCTGATCCGACCCGACCGGAGAACAAGAAGTCCACCCGAGACCCGGCCCGACCAAAACAAGTTTTCACCCGACTCGAACCCGACAGATATATAACTTAAAAACCCGATCCGAAATAATAATAAAAAATTTATTCAATAAAAACAATGTATTAATTGAAAAAAAATATTGAGGGATATTATTGTAATTATTCCTAAATATATAAGGTAAAATTATTTATTTTTTTCGGGTCAAGTATTTTTCACCCTAAACCGAACCCGACCCGACCCAAACATCACATTAAAAAAACCCGACTAGGACCAGAATTTTTTAAAAAAAAATCTGACCCGATCGGGTCGAGTCCCGCCGGGTTCGAGTCTCATGCCCATCCTTAGTTGAAACCAGTTTGGTTATGAGAATAGAATATGTTGAATCTAGTTTTTTTTCAGAAGACTTAAATATACATTTGATTATTTTAATAATAAAAAATTTTGAAGTAAATTTTAGTTTTAATTATAAATCAATAAAAACGGTATTTAAAAGAAATTATAATTAATTAAAGGGTAAAGTATACAAATGGTCCCCGACTATAACATAATGCTTTATTAAGTCCTTTGACTATTAAAAGTTACAAAATAATCCTTTGATGATAGAGTATTGCTTCGACGAGTTCCTCGACTATTAAAAGTTATAAATTGATCACTCAACTATTCATCATGATCCAAACCTGCCATTTTTCATTAAAAATTAATGGTCTTCTAATATGAAAGTTAATCTACTGACCATGATATGATAAAATTTTATTTCAGAATCTCAAATAACTATCATATCTCAGTCATCGTGTTTACGTCCAACTTGGACTACCACCAACTTTTTAACAAAAAAAGATTAGTTTGGTACATAATAAATAGTCGAATGATCATTTTGTAACTTTTAATAGTTGAAGGACTTAACAAAATAACATTCTATAGTCAGACGACCATTTTATAACTTTTAATAGTCAAAGGACTTAGAAAACAATATCTTATAGTTGAGGGACCATTTGTATACTTTACCCTTAATTAAATATCTCTAATTGTCTAAACTAAATTTTTCCTTAAAAACAATTCTTTTTTTTTAAAAAAAGTAAAAAAATATAAGAAATAATAAAATATGAAAATTATTTTAAATTAAAAATAGTTTTAATAAATATTTAAAAAAACTTTAATAATTCTAATCTATGGGTGATCTCATATGTTCTTTTCCTTTCTGGCAAAAACAGCTAATACAAACATTCACAACGCAAATTCTTGCTTTATATTGCCATCCCTATACACTGTGCACACCTGCTATGATCAGCAAAATATTTCAAACTCCGTCTTTCCACTAACTATTCACAAAACCCCCTCTATGAGCATCACATGGAGAAACGAAGTATTGTTTGTTAATGGTGCAATTGATATCCCAGAAACACACTTACCATTGCTACCATACACACAAATAGGAAAGGGAATCCCACTTGAACTCGTCTCACATCACTCCTTTTCCTCAACAGCGCCTGCGTAAATATACGGTTTTACCGTTAATGTAAAGAAAACACGCATCCGTAAACGATTGAGAATGGAGAGTAAGTGCTAAGTGGATTTTGAGCATCTCCTACTGAAAAGGCCTCCTCCAAGAATGTGAGAAAGAGACGACGTTTGAGGAATTACACATGATGACCATTCATCATTATTGGTTCAAAAGCTAAGAAAGAAAGCCTAGAATATCACCCCGTGATAGCGGCAACGCTTCTCACTAGAAGGGTCACTAGGAGAATCGACTGTACACGATTGAACGTTATATATGAAAAATGTAACATGAATCTACCAAAAGAAGAATGCACGAGAAAACTACTTACGAGTTCTTCTTGTAAGGTCTTCCTTGCCTGAGTGCTTAGGCTCCTCTCCTCTGTCAGTTTTGAAATGGTTGCTTCAGCCTGAATAACAGATTCAAAATAAATGATGGCAAAATATAATGCAAACTTCTTTTTAACTGTCGCGATCAAGCAATGTTCCTTTTCCGTATAAACAAACATACCTTGCCTAGCTTAGATTCAAGGTCACTTAATTTTGATTTCATTTCCTGCACATCTTTGGCAAACTTTATATCCTCCAAAGTCTTGAATTTTTTCACCTCGTCACCCTTCAACGCATTGAACTCCTTTTCCCTCACTGTCTTCAGTTCCTTGGCATCGAGAATATCCTCCACCGGCTTGGATTCTTCATCTTCCACTGGCTTTAACTCCTTGCTATTGAAAGAATCATTCTTTGGCTTCAGATTAGTGTCTTTTATTAAATTTAAGCCCTCGCCGATAACATCATTCATCGGCTTCGGTTCTAAATCCTTCTTTGGCTTTAATTCCTCCTCATAGAACATATCCTTACTTAGCTTCAGCTCTGCATCCTTCTTTGGCTTTAATTTCTCTTCATAGTTCATATCCTCCCTTGGCTTCCACTCTACATCCTTCTTTGGCTTTAATTCCTCCTCATAGTACATATCATTCCTTGGCTTCCACTCTAAATCCTTAGCCGACTTTAAATCCTCGATATTTATCGTCTTTGACTCCTCAACCTTCGCAACCTGACACAGACGAGAACATGGTAATTTTCTAAACAGCATAAGCTACATCAATGTATATTAAGTTCGCTTTTAAATCTCATATTCAAAAGAAAAAATCCTTTCAGATATAAAGATAATGCAATCTTACATAGAAGTGCATGTGCATATATAATAATGCAAAAAAGTTTATCTACCGTCGGAAGTGATGCAGGAATCCCAACTCTATCATAATCCATTCCTTGATTCATTCTCCCATTAATTGGCGATAACACTGGCGAATGAGGACTGACAAGAGCAACCTTAAGCTTGTTCTCTTCTATATACCTTCCATTGTCCTTCACAAACTGTCAAGCAAACACAAAGAGTGTAAGTCACATGCTAATTACTATTATCAAATAAAGCACAAGCAGGGCAGAAAATCACTTACTGTGGCAGATGTAATGTTTTCATCAGTTGTTCCTGCAGGGACAATTGTACTTTGAATCAAGAACTTATCTCTGCATATCATATCAGGAGGGGCTTCACGCTGAGCTTGCATGATAACTAAATGGAAAAGGACAAAGGTGAGAATATACAGAATAGCTCAGAGGAGAAGAAATCATATGAGAAATTCAGAACTACATTTTATTTATAAGTTGCATCACTATATTCGATTCACTTGTTCAACTACTGGGACATCACAATGGCAGATTGTTCTAAAGGTCAAGATTATTGGATTATGTTTGTCAAAAGCATGTAATTTTTGTTGCCTCACTAGATTTGCAGTCTCAGAAAATTATTCATGATTATCAAATGAAAAAGAAACCAGCCGATACAGAGGAAATGCCCTGTATTTAAAGCACTTTAAAGGCTGAAAATTTACCCTTACCGGATCTCAATTCTTTCACGTCCCTCAGCCAATTGACCTTATATAAACTCCTAACGATAACATGATTTTTATATACTTACATCATTACTCGTGAGCTATTATAAGATCAAAAGCCACTTAAGCCTTCAAATTCATTTGTTACATGCACAAACATAAAATCATAAAACATTTTAAGCACAAAAAAATCCATACCTGAAAAATCACAGGTTGATTTTGGCATAACAATGCCAACATTAGGCCGCACGCAGTATTTCTTAGGAGATGTAGTTTTAACCTGCAAAAATATCATTGCTCCAATCACTACATAAATTAGAAAATGAAAAAAAAACCCAGAAAGTTAAGGTTCGGACCTTGAAAGCAACATATTGGTTAGTGTTATTTGTGAGCGTTGCCGAGCAGGCGCATTGCTTCTTCAATATAACTACCAATCGAAAAATAAATTTAAATTAGACAAAAAAATATCAAAGCTAAAGTTTCTGAATATATTAACCTTTTAGCTTTTTTTTCCACAACAAACCCAAAAAAATAAATGCCACAATTTTTTTTTAAAAAAAGCCTTAATTATTTTTTATTATTCCATCTTTTTGCAGAATTAGGATAGAAAAATATTATAAATATTGATATGTGAAACCGCTAAATTCAATGAACTAATTCAGCACGAATTGCTTTTACTGCTATATTTTATTTTGTAGAAAAATAAACAGGTTTAAGCAACTCCTTGTTTCATCCGCGTATTTAGTCACCAAACTAAAATAATAATTCTAAATAACAGCTGGTATCTTTTCATACAATAGAATAAAAATAAGGAATTAAAAGTTGCTTTATCTAATCTAATTATTATAAAAATACTTTATGCGGTAAAAGTAAAGGAGCAATCAAGAAATTATGTACTCACATACGAATTTAAGTTCCTTCGGCTCAATCTCCAAAAGTTGCGTGTTCATTGTCACCAAATCTTAATCTGCGCTTAGTAATTATCAAAATAATCAGCAGAATAATCCGAATAATTAGTTTCCTTTTACATTTTCCAAAATATTTCTCTTCTTTATCAGAATTTTGCAAAATATTCGAATTGGAAGAAAGATGTATATATATATTCTTTAAAAAAGGCTAAGTCGAAAATAGATCTAGTTCTGACGCTCTTTGACTCGGATCAGACTCGAAGCAACTCTGTTTGGATCCCAACTAAATATGAGATGATTCGAATTCCCGGAAACGGAGGCGATGAAAATTTGAAATCAAAGTAGAAAAAGCAAAAGAGATTTTAAAAATTTGAAAGCAAAATCTCAATAATGACTCGGCTTCCAATCGGATCATTTTCCTTTTGATTCAAAACAACTAGATCAACCATACTGACCTGAGAATCAAGCTGTGCAAAAAATTGAGCTCAGAAAAGAACAATGTATTGACTCGAGCTTCAAATCAAAGAGAAACAACAAACAATATTGTCATGGCACTGACATCGTTTCGTCTTCTTTTAAATTCGATCATTAAAACTCGACAGAAAAACAAGTCAAACGGCACCTGGACGGTGCATGAAATTCAGCGCGAAAACTGAAAAAAAAAAGAATAAAACGAGCAGAGAAGAAAACGACAACGTTTTTCGAAATGAGAAGAGCGAAAGCTTACATGTAACAGCAAAAGAATCTCTGGCAGAGAGATTAGAGAAACAGAGAAGGGAAAGGAAGAGAGTATGGTGAAGGATTCAACGGACTATAAAATTGTAAAGAAAATAATAGAAAAACAAAGCGAAGAGTCCCAGAAATTCCTTTTGAGAGAGAGTTGTTTGGGGTTTGGTAGTGGCAGAGGTGAAATGTGAGAGAAAAGAAAAGAAAAGCTGTGAACAACGGAGGTGAAAGACGAGCATTAAAAGACAGCCAAGCTTTTAAAGTGACTGGAGCGGAGAGCGTTAGGTGTACCCGCCGTTTCCCTCTCTAACCCACTCCGTTTTGATTCAATTATTCGAAAGTTTATTCCCACAAAAAAATCTTTTATTGGATTTTTAAAATTTTAAATTTTGATAATGATTATTTTAAATTTTTAAACAATTAAATTTTATGAAATATATATTTTAAAACTATTTAATTTAATATTTTTTTAAAAAAAATATCTTTATATACTTTTATCAATAATAAATTTTAAATAATAATTAGTCAAACTTTTTAAAAAATTGACAAAAAAGTCAATAATATACCCATTTCATGAGACAGAATGAGTATAATTTTTTATAGGATGAAATTTCCGAAATTCTTAAATTTCGTGATTTATTTATTATTAATCACATTTTTAATCAACAAATATATGCTTCTCTGTCACTTGTGTAAACCCGTCGAGTCAAGCTCAAGTATCGTTGAGTTCAACTCGACTCGAAAACTCTGAAATGAAAATCGACTTTATTCGAAAACTCGTGAGCTTAAAATTTTTAAGTTCGACTCGAACTCGAAATCCTAAATTGAACCTCGTGACCAACTTGAAAAGACTCGAAATGAAAAAAAATCTTAAACTTAACTAGATTGAAGTCTCAAACTCAAACTTGAATCTTAAATACATGAAAGTCTTACTGTATTTTTTTTAAAAAAAATCAACACATAAATGTTAATATTATTAATAATTTATTTTTTAAAAATAAAATATTAATATATTATATTTTCGAGCTGCACACGAGCTTTTCGAGTCGAGTATAAAGTAGTTCGTTTCGGCTTATTAAGAATTATAGACAAACTCGAGTCGAGTCCATTCGATCCGAGTATTTATCGAGTCTTGACCGAATCGATTTCAAGTAGCTCGCGATATGTTTCGTCTCAATTTAAGCCCTACCTGACAATTGGTAATTTAAAAAAAAAATTCTTTTAATTAATAAGCCTATTGAGATTTCAGTGAAATATAATTATATATCATAAAACGTGTTATTATTAAGGTATATAATTACAAAATTTGAGTATAAACCATTAAATTTTTTAATTTTAAACTTTTCACAATTCAAAATTTAGATTTAAAATTAGAAGGTTGCCATATACAGAGAATTTTTTTAATAGATATACGGTAAATATAAAATAATATATGTTCAAAGATTCTCAAATGTTTAATAATAAATTTTTATATCTTCTAATTTAAAATTCCAAGTATAATAATTGTCAACACACCTTTTCGTCCGGGTACAACACTCTCAACAACTCTGATTTAGTGAGATTCAGAAAACAAACATAGCGTTAGAGTTTTACTAAGATTCAAACTCCTAAAAATAGGATAGAGTTCTACTATGATTCAAACTCCTAAAAATATGATCCAGAATCATTATAAATAGCCATTGTAACTCACTATTGTAACACACGATTTACATACAAAATACAGAGGAAAGCACGAAAAAATACAAATGCAAAGCTATTATAAGCGATTCGAAAATAAAATAAAAGTTATCATCTTTTGTACTTTGATTCGTTCATTTCTCGCATGTGCATGTTATTTTCTTGAGATTTGGTTCGAATAACCCAAAACGTGGGTTGCGCCGATGACCAAAAAGGGGTGGGATTTCGAAGTTTTGAACCTAGATCTACCCTCGAGGCGTGTTCCTATTTTTAAATATTCAATTCTACCCCTAAATCCATTTTAATTCGGCCTATAATTTTTTATTTTTCCTTTTAATTTGAACCCCTAACCTTTTTTTCATTTAATTCAGTCCCTTCATTTTATTATTAATGTTTTTTATTTCTTATTTTTTAATTCCAACAGTATATTTATTATTATATATATTTAATTATATATTTTTATTATCTATTATTTTTATTATTATTGTTTTACTTTTTATTATTATTATTTATTCTTTCGGCATTTTAATCTCTCTCTCTATATATATATATATCATCACTATTATATATTTTATATATTACTATATTTTATCACTATGTATATATACTTTTGATATTTTTATTACTATATATTTTGGTTATTTGTTATTTGATTATATTGCATATATGTATTTTTTTCTACTTTATTTCCATTTTTATTTATTTTATATTTTCTTAATATTCATTTTATTACTTTCTTTCTTATTCTTATTTGTTAATTGTATATAGATTTTTACTATTATATCTATTTTTTTATTTATTATTTTCTTCATTTTTTTATCTTCATGTTGAATCCCTATTTACTTTTTTCTCTCTCAATTGTATTTGTTTTTATTTTTTTCTCTCTAACATATTTCTTGACTTTTGTAAGGGTACACTTTTAAAACTGTCAGCGGTAAGTAATTTGGATCGTTATTTTACCTTTTAAATTAGACTTATAATTTTCTTAATTTAAGACGACTAGAAATTACACAGTACCGAAAGGGTAGTTTAAGGGTGCTAACCCTTCCTTGACTGTAACCGACTTCTGAATCTGACACATCACTGGTAAGATACAGATCATGTAAGAAATAAGGTATCCGGTCAGCCCATTTTGTTTAAAATAAATGATCGATGGCGGCTCCTAATCATTTAACCCAATTCCGGGCGCACCCGAAAGACGGTTACGACAGGTTGGCGACTCCGATGGGGACAGGTAAGTGAGTCAGGCTAAGGTAGTTTCCAGTTGTCTTTTTAACGAAAAGGGTAAGTTTAAATTTTAAGGTAACATTTCGATCCTTATTGCTTACTTTTGATTATATTTTCGAGTAAATAGTTGTACTAACCATTTTCTAATGATTTCAGCCTCCCAAACTTGTTTTTCACTTAAGGCTCTAAACCTGAGCTCTGAACCCTATTTAAGTGGGGGTGAAAGCGATGCATTCGTGTGAATTTATTCACCGCACAGGCCTAGCAAGTAGCCTTCGGGATTCATATACCTTATATCTTCGTGTGAATTTATTCACCGCACAGACATAAGGGAATGTGTCCTCTCGAGTTTAACTTAGTCCACATAAGCTTGTAATAGGCTTAGGACTAAGGGTCCGGCAAGCCCAAGAGGGAACCAACAAGGATAACTCGGGTACCTTTTTATTAAAACCTAAACCGAGAGAATACAAAGAATTAGAGCCCACCCTAAAACCTCATTTTCAAACCCTAGGCTGCTTTGATATTATTTCATGCTTTATTTCATATTCAAAGCATGTGAACTAGAAATTTATGCGGTTATGACTTGTTCAAAATCAACTTGCGGGATAAAGATCATGTCCGGGTAGGAATCATGAGCATGTGGGGTATATATCATGCGGGGTAGGACTTTTATTCTCATGATTGATTTAATTATTTTTGTCTCACTAACTCTTTTCATTTTTGTTCTTTTTTATTTTATTTTCATCATTTGCATCATTCAAAAGAGGTGTTGATCCACCAAAACATGTTTGTTAGACATAAATAATTTGCATTAATGGACAAAGGGGTTGTAATACAAGAGATGAAAATGCAGAGGACAGTCTACAAGATGATTATGTGTCACATTCAATCCAGAAGACGTGGTGCCCCCAATTAAAGAGTATATTACTCTGCTGCATTATAAAGGACTCAGAATGAACCGGGTCAACATCAAGCACAATGAAAGTCTAACTTGGAAGAACTGATTGGCAGAGGTTGCAGGGGCAAGATGAAGGTTACTGATCTTGGGGGTCCCTTCAAATACAACAATGGCAAAACGATAGCTGAAATTGGAGACCATTGCTGACGAATTCAAGAAACATACAAATGAATTTCATATAGTTCTTATCAATTGAGGGCTCCAATGACGTATTCGTTGAGAACATGTTCAACAGAAGATAAATTCCATAGATGCAGTCATTTAAGACTTCTTAGACTAGTACAAAAAGCAACTCAACATTTGCACGGTTCATCCAGAGAAGCCGGAGCGATTCGACATGTTATTCAACCAGCGACAGACGAAGGCAGAAGACTAGTCAACATGTAAGAAGCTGTCAGGATATTTTTGTCTCTTAAAAGATAAAACAATTTTGTCCTCAATAAGGATTATTTATAATAACATACATGTTTTCGGATCAATGCCTCGAGCATTTCATGCATTTTTGCATCTACATTTCAGTTTTAAACATTTTCATAAACATGAAATTTCTTCATGGAGGATTCGATGAAGTGATCCTAATCACGTGACACCACATAGAAGCGAGATTATAACAATTAAAAAAACTGAAATCAATACAGTGGGAGCCTGATCAGCTGATTGTAGGACAAAGCCTGCCATGATGATTTGAGAACAGAATCCCCATATCCTAAGGGCTACGATGTTGAAGTTGTGTGCAGTTACCACATAGGAAGCTTCAGATACTCCTCAAAGAACTATAAGGAACCGAAGCGCAAGATCCAAAACCTAATGGATTCAGGGGCATTGACAGCCGAAGAATGGGACATTGCATATACCATTTGCACTTAGAGCATTGTTTTGTTTGAACACATCTTTGATCTTTCATGTTTGCTTAATCTTTTAAATGATTGCATTCATGCTACTTTCTAAGGTGGAGCAATTGAACAAATTTTAATCTTTAGTTCTTCGAATATTAAATGAATTAAGGATTCTTTTAATTCTTCAAGAATTATAGATTTTTGACATATGGCAAGATTAGACCTTTCTTATCCTGTCTCAAACCCTAAAATAAAATACCTTGATTCTTTACCCAAAATAACTCATGGTCATTACCAAAAAGACCAAATTTTAACATTACCTCCCTTTGAAATTTTTTAACAATGCATTTATCTTTTTGATACACCCATACCTTTCTTTGAGTCAATAAAATCACACCATTGTCTTTTTAGACTCAAAATTGACATTTTTATACCATTAAAACCCAAGGCATTGAGTTGTTCATTTGAACATGAGCATTCTTCTAAGACACAACTTGGGGCATCTCGCAGGAAGCCTGAAC